AAAAAAAATTTCACTCACTTCTGCCAATATTAAACTGCAAGACATCATCCCCTGATTTTGTTAATATTGTGCAGTACAGTACAGTATCATAAAAGAAGAAAAAAATCAAGAACGTCGCACCCATTTTTGAAATGGTGCAATAATGGTTATTCTTCGCGTGCTTATCAAAAGCTTTGATTTTTTGTTAAATTGTTTCTATTAGCGAAGTTTCACCATTTTTTGATCAGTCCATCGGTGCAATTGAGTGCCTGCAAATTACAAGCGAATTTTTCAAGTGACGTCCGAACAAGTAAAAATTTAAACAAAAAACTAGGATGATGATTGAAATTATGATCATTGTAAATTCTCGGCGAGACACAGTATTATCCTTCTCAAATTGATAGCATAAGATCTTATAAAACAAAAATAAGTTCACAAAATCGTTGAGATTTAACTGCATGCATAAATCTTCCAGCAAATTTCTTCCACAGTGCCACAAAAAGGAGAACTGAGAATTACAACTGAATTTGGGAAGATGGTCGTTTCCCCCAACGAAATCTGCGTAATTCAGGTACAGTATAGTACAGCATGCATTAAAATTAAAAAAGGTTTTTTCCGAGTCAACATCCGTTTTTATTTTTATTTTAGCAAGGGATGAAGTTCAGCGTCAGCATCGAGGAACCATCCCGAGGATACGTGCTGGAAATATTCGACGGACACTTCCAGCTCCCGAATCTAGGTCCCATAGGTTTGTTAAATATTTTTTTAGACAAAAATGTCAATAACATTACTAGGACAAAGGTCCAAATGTAGAGAATTTCAAAATTATTTTAGAGCCGGTTCCAGGTGCTGCACGATCAATACTTCAAAACTCGTCTTAAGTCTGAAACTTTCCAGATAAACCTATGAAGATACGAAATAATGCTTCCAAAAACTTAATTTCAGATTTTAATGTACTCCCGTAAACTCACCGAGGTGAAGAAATAGCTCAAACAAAAGATAGGTTGACCTTCTTTCAATAATGATAAAATATTTTATCGAGCTGCAAAATCCTCCTTCATCCCACCAGACTCAACAAAGAAAGTACAAGATTAACACTTCCTGAAAGAAATCTTGTACTAGTAACCAAGGTTAAGTTGGATGAACTTACATACAGGACAGACCGTGAGCTAGAAACTAGATTAACTCGAAATCCGAGACCAGTTTTTTATTCGCTATCGGTACTGTATTATACAGCACAGCATGATAAAACTTCTGCCATTTGTGCATTTCGAATAATCTAAGGATCGAATGGTCTGGCGCAACCGAGAGACTTCCTCACGCCGATGGCAAAATTTGAAGACATTGAGGCAGATTTCGCAGTGGTGAGCAAGTTCCAAGGACAATTATTCCAAGCCACGCAAGGTCACAGTCCCTTCGACGTGGTAGCCTGGCATGGCAACTACGTACCGTACAAGTACGACCTGGCAAAGTTCGTGGTGATCAATTCCGTATCGTTCGATCACTGCGTGAGTCTCATCGCAAGAATAAGATGCGCCTCCACATACATGGAGATGAAAATAAATTTATGGGTTGTCGCATTGGAAATGTTTTTCTCATCCTTATGCACGTGTACAGGACCCGTCGATTTTCACGGTACTCACTTGTCCATCGACGAAACCCGGAGTTGCGATCGCAGATTTCGTGATCTTCCCGCCTCGTTGGTCAGTTCAACAACACACTTTCCGGCCTCCTTACTATCACCGTGAGTTACATTATTTGATTGAGAATTATGAGATGCACTGAACAGGCATGTCGAAATCGCGACTTTTCACTATACCTTCCATCACTGAAAAACAAGACACGCATTCCTTCACAAAACTCGGTTCTGAAAAATCATGGTACATTTCGAAATATCGATGGTGTTCAACATCCAACGAAGGATGAATCCGCATTATTGAATGCAATAACTCATCCCCATCAATTCGAGGAATTATATTGAATGAAACCAACCCATTAAAGTGTCACTTCAAGGCGAAAGAAAAGATGATAGATACCCCACAGCAGGAATGCCGTCATTGAAGGAGGCAATTTTATTATTGCATCACGAGTGTCAGTCATCAAGAAATCCTAAAATCAATCATTGGTCAAAATTTGCATGTGAGCCCTAAGCATTCTAGGATAATGACCGAAAATGAAGTTCTTGAAGTAAGATTCAAATGGAGATGAGTTATGCAAACACAATCTCCGGTTTCAGATTAAAATGAGTATATAACGCGTTCGCTGGCAAAATTGCATCAAATTTCGAGGAACTTAGCGAGAAGGACGAGGTCGTCATGGAATTTACAACACTTAATAAAACATGACAGTTGTCACTCACTTTCTTCCAACTATGAAGCTGAATTTGAAGGCACCAACAAAAGTTCAACGCAGGAAGTTTTCGATTCAGGGAGGTTAGGGAAACTATAGGGCTTGGGATTAGAAAAAAAAAGCAAGCTTTCGACTTATGGGGATGTTCAATTCAAGAGGTCCAACTATAATTCTTCCCGTTAGGTTCACTGATCTGCAATTGTTACACGAGGGACCATAGAATAAAGGTACTGTACTTATAAATGCAATTTAAAATGGTTTTTCATTTACTGGATTCAGCCATGCAAGACACCCCTGCGTTT